ACTGTTTTCACAACATTTTTTATTCACTTTAACAACTTTTATCATTTCATCATGCAATTTGAGATGAAATTTAATTGAATTGAGAGACGCAAAAAGGTAAAACATTTATTAGTTTCAATCGTTTTATCGTTCATTAAATGAAGGGCATAAAATTTTGATGCAAAAAGATGCAAAGGAAAAAAATATTAGACAATGATAAAGCATGATTAAACACGAAAAAAAGTAAATTTCAAGAAGCACATGAAAAGATATTGTTATGATGATGATACTTTTGGACTCACTTAACTTGGAAAGGCTTATTATCTTCATCTTTTTTTGTGCTTTTCACAAAAATAAGTTCAACTTGGGATGGAAAAGTGAATAAGAAAATCGATTTTTTTCCCTGTGCTTCTTCATTCCCTTTATTTCACTTGCTTTGTTGTCTTTACCATTTTATTTCGTTTTTTTTGTTGCTTCTGTTCCCTTTCATTTTGCTCAGATCAAAATATAAATTTGTTTCACTTTGTTTCATTTTAATGCAACCAAATGCTCATCAATTTCAAGGTAATTGTCTGTTTCTTGGTGTCTCAGCTTTCAACTGGAAAATGAAACATTTTTTTCCTTCTTGTCTTTGAGTTTGAATTTTAAATTTTTCTCTCTCTTTGAATCAATTGTCTGGTAAATTGTTTCAATCGAACCGATAAACTGTGAAAAACAAATTGGAAATCATGGAAAACAAATGAGCACTCTTAAACTCATGGCCAATCAATGATAACCTTTAATACAAAGGTTGATATTTCTCCCTCCCAGCTTTGATGTAAATTTTAAGAAAATATTTCCAGTGATAAATCGAGCGATTCTCTATGATAAGAAATCATTTTGCAACAGGAGTCACGATAGTCCATGATCTCAAGAAGAAGAAGAATCCTGAAGAAGAAGCTCATGGTGGACTATAGCAGCTACCGTTAGCACAACTATATCTATTCATAAAATATATAAAGTCAAAACATGAAGTTTTTGTGTATAAGTTGTAAGCAAATGAAAAAGATTCTAAGGAAAATTCTTGAACAGCCTGAAAGCCGTTATTGATTTATATGCCCGAAAAATAGTCAATGGCTAACGAGAATTCAGGCTACTGCGAAATTTCCGAAATGAACAGGGTAGGGGAAAAAATGCAGAACCCGTATTTGTAACATTGTGTTTGGAGGAAAAACTTTTTAGTTATTTAGGTTGAAGGTTTATGGTTGGAATATAAAATAGAGTCAACATAATACCGAACTCAAATTTCGTATTATTGTTGAAAAGCGTTGCGTTAAAGAAGAAGTCAGTGTATTGTTGTATTGGGAGTATGTAAAATCAAACTTGAGCCCAAATCAAGCTATATTTTTATCATTTGCAATTCTGGATTATTAACCCATTCATTGCAAGCACTTGATTATTATAGATACATTATTCCAAAAATTATTAAAATTATTCCATTCTTTGGCCTGTTTCTGCTTTAAACATCGTTCATTCACGTTCAAATAGTAATTGATTTCATAGTTAAGTGTTTAATTTGTTTTCACTACAACTTGATTTGACTTTTGACTTTGAGATTCATGGAAAACCAACAACAGCAATCATGCCCAACAGGTAATTTAATCAGGATTTGATCTGTCTGATTACAGGCCGTGCATGACAAAGCGCAATGCAAGCAATGCGTAATCAATGTGAAACCCTAGGAACATATCGCTGTTTACCTATCCATTATGAACAAATGTTTTAAAACCAGGATTATGATTAAAGATTCTCGAATTTTTCGATGTGTCTTGGAATGATTCTGTCCTTAATCATGAAAAACTAATTGACAAACCTGTTGGCATATCGCTTTCCAAGTAAAAATTTCATTTTCAATATTTTCCACATTTCCTTGTATTCAATACTACTTGTGAGCTCTAACGTGTTGCTCTTAAAAACTATTGTACCTGGGTTTTCAGGTAACTATCAACCAATTCAAAATTTTTACATCCTCAGAAAATGACCTCTAATGGCAAAATATTCGTTATGCTCGTTCAGCTGTCTATTAGAAGTCAAATAACGGATTGACCTTGAATGACCTTGAGGGTTCGAACTTATGATTATTCAATTTTACGAAGTCATGGCTCATGAGTCGTAGTATGCAGTGTTACCTGTTCGTGAGTTATGGCTGGAAACTGTCATAAAATGAAAAAACACCCATTACATTGTAAATGCTCTGAAATAAATACACCACTAACAGAGAGTTCCTTGGCCAAGTTAGATTCGAAGAGGCTGCATTACAAAACTGGTGCTGATATCGTAATGAGGGAGAATGATTTTGATGGACGACTTTCATGAACACACTGACTTCATATCTATGTTCAAAATCAACTAAATAAAACAATTGAAATAAAAAATTAAATTAAATTGGATTATGATTAGCCTCAAGCAAGAAACGCACGTTGATCATAGTTACCATCATCAGAAAGTAGTAAAAAAAGAGAAGTACTAGCCGTTCCGGTACTTCCGGATTCCCTTCCCCTACTATGGAATGAACTTTATAGCAAGGTATTCCTCTTTCTTGTATTAAAAAATTGTTTTTTTACAGAGGCAATCTATTCTTTTTAGGGAATAGACACTAACAAAACTTGTTAAACACAATTAAAAGTTTAAAGTTGACTTGTCGAGATAGAGTTAAGAAATGATGTTACTTATTTAATCCACCAGTGGTTGACAAGTCAATGCTCTTTTCTAATTGAAGCAACATCCTCAAGATTTTTAAAACCGGTAGTTGTGACTTAACCAGAAGCAAAAATAATACATGTTTTGTTACATTCCTTTCTTATCCATCCGTTAAAACGATTACGACCTTTGAAATCAACCTCTGGAAGACAGATTCTTTGACCTAGATTCCAGATTGAAAATAAATTGGTAACCATACTCATGTGACATTCTCAAGTACAATAATTACACTGCGCCGTAGTTTTTGCTTATATACGTGGTGAACTCATCGTCATTACCCTGGTAATGACGACTCATTCATCACGTGAACCATCATGGATAAAAGAAAGATTTTATTAATCATTATTACTATATTTTTTCTCATCCTTCTATTCTCTCGTTTCATGATCATCGACAAATTAGAATATACAAATATATCGTTAGCTTGATTCATTCAACGATTAAAACCTTTGAAATCAGAGATTGGTCAGAAAAGGGAGAACTTATTTACGGAAGTGGCTGTAAAGTTCATTCCATAGTAGGGGAAGGGAATCCGGAAGTACCGGAACTGGCTAGTACTTCTCTTTTTTACTACTTCAGAAAATAGCATGACGCACATTCTGCCTACGGAAAGTTTCAATCAAGCAGTTATTTAGCATCCCCAAGCAAAGACGACAAAGAGGCCATAACTTTAACATCACGTTTTAAAAGGTAACACCAGTAGGTATTAAGCTCGAATTTAGCGTTGCACATATTACACCTAATCACCACATTTCGATACATAAAATCAATCATCGAACAAGTGAACAAAGTAAAACTAGCAGTTGCAAAATCTGTTATTCTGTTGTCTTCTTTTCAATGCAATCCAATCATGAATAAAAAAATATCGTAAATCGAAACTGCTTGCCTCTTTTTCAGAAAAAAAGTCCAATTTGCTTTCAATGTTTATCAAAATGAAATCTCCATGAAATCTAACCACATGATTCTGTGGGCTATAAATTTTGTGGAATCATGGACGACCAGTTTTGCGATTTACGAACCAAAAAATATTCTAATCATGACTCGATTGCAAATTAAATTGTGTTCATTCTTTCTTTTTCCATCAGATGTTTACTATCAAAATTATCATGATAGGGTATTGAAATGAAAATGATATTTCCTATTGAACCAGAATTGGCCGCAAGCTATAAAATGTATTCTATAAGTTTAATACTTGATAAATAATAATCGAAATGACACTTGATTGTGAGTCACTTTAATAACAAATTAATGTTGCCATAATAATAAGTTGAGCATACAAAAGTTGAACAAAAAGAGATAATTTTGCAAACATGAAATAATAATCTTAAACAGTAAAGTGAACTTTGATAATAACAATATCAATAGCCGTGAGCAATTCATTTAATCACAAGTTTCTTTCACCAATACAATTTGTTCATTCTCCTGGAAACGTTTAATGATGATAACTGTCTGTTAAATAATGAAACGATTCAATTTCAATATCAAGATGAAAGAGCAAAATGATTTATTTCACTCGAAGAGAACAAAAATTGAAAATTCAAAAAATTTCCAAATGTTGATCAATTGAATCCTTTACCAGTTTAAAGCTCATGTCAAACATGACATAATCTTGTTTGCAATCAATTGGCAAAGTGTCTCTCGACTGACCAGGGAATGAGTAAAATGTGATAACATGATGAAACAAAAGTGTAATAACAGGGAATGAGAATTAATAGCAATTTCTTTTTTTTCTCGTTTCTCTTTATCTCTTTTCTTTTGCTTACCAATTGCATTATTTTTTCATGCCTGATAATGGACATTCAATGTCCTAAATCCTTGATCAAACTACGCTATACACTTAATGGACAGTCCAAGACTGTTAACCTCATTCGCATAACACATTTTTGGTCAAACCAGAAAATAATTGAATGCTACAACAAGATAGAGATAACATTTTCATTTCAACCTTTATCACAAAACTTTATCGCTCTTCTATCGTTTTCTCATTTAATTAGTCAATTACAATTCTGTGATCTTTTCACATCGACATTTAATTACTTTTGACCAATGAAACTTTTATCCAATCAATTTGCTTCATTTTTCTCGCTTCAATCTTTCACTTTCCCTGCAAACTGATTGTTCAACAGAAGGAGAAGAAAAGGAAAAAAAATTTACCCCGAATTTCATGCTAAATGACAATAGCTGAATGAAATTGAAATTATTTTCAAGCTCATTGATTATCCAATCAACTTATGAATTTATCTCGACATTCAATAACAATTAACTTGCAATTTTTCATACTCGATAGAATGCCATGAAACATTGGAAATATTTAGTTGAACGTTTCAATGAGTAAATCTTATTGATCAAACTAATTTTCCGTGTTGGCTTATCGATTGTTGCTGAGAATGTATCATGTTTGTGATTCTTTACTTACCTGTAAGCCATATCATCATCTTCACCTCCCCAGCCCCAGTAAAGATTAGAGTAACCGTTTACCAGAACAAAATGGGCTTTGGTTATGGCAAAAACACCTCCAACCAGATATGAATAGGGAAGTCTGTAGAAGAGGAAAATTAAATGTTTACTTTTGCTTTTCATTGCATTTTTATAGCAATCAATCACATTGGAAAGGCTAAATTGATTGAAATTGATAACTTTAACAATTTCAATATTAAACAATCAATCATGACTGGATAATCAATAAAATGCTTTCCGCTAAAAGTGCATTCAATTGGCAAGCAACTATCGAAATATGGATTTTTATATATTTTTGATTCTTATTCCAATCCTAAACCTTGCATTGATTTGCTTCAAAAGATTCCTTTCCTAATTAGCAAATGTCTTAATAACGTAAAAAGCAAAAAAAATTGTCTCTGTCCGACCGCTAAATGTGACCTTGTCACAGTGTTGATGTAATAAAAGTCAGAGAGAGAAAAGCGAAAGAAAAGAAAAATCGAGGAATCACTTGACCTCTTGGAGTTGAGTGAACAATGCAACCTTTCCTGTTTGAAGGACTAAAAGTGGTTTCCGTTCGACTTTCGAATAATTTGAGGCTTTAGTTCTGTAATTACTGGCATTGTACTTACGTGTAGTTGAATTTATCGACGGCTACAGACATGTGTCGAGGTTCGGATGGACAAGAGTAAAGATTACGATCATCTTCAGGAATCAGGTCAACATCGTGAAAGATGAAACAATGATAATCGTTGTCTTTTAAGGCTTCCTTAACACCAGCATTCATCAGAACGCCTTTATTGAACGTTTCATTTCCCGACTGATCAAGTTTTTGGTGCATTTAAAAATTAGAAAAGAAAAATGAAATTAATGAAATTTTTTTAATCAAACTGAAATTCATTTCTAGAGTCAACATTGCAACATTTGAAACAATTGAAAATGATTGTTGTTTTAATAGCTTTGACTCAATTTCAACTCAAGGCAAGTTGATAATTGTAAAATGTCAAGAAAAGTTGTTGTTTGAAAGGAAAATGAAATTACTTT